AGCTTTAATGTAGGATTAAATTCCTGTCATAATTTTCCTTGATGTCATCAGCATTTCATTCTCTACAACTCAAAGCCCTGGTCTTCTTAAATTCTTCTCTTTCTCTCCCACCTCCTTCTTATATGCAACAAGTCACCAAATCCTATGATGCTTCATTTAAAAACTACTTTTATAGGTCCTTTTTGTTTATTCCCAGTCCTTCTATCCTACTGCTGGCTCTTTACAATTCACAGATCAAAAATGTGGAATTCTATTTGGTTTCTCCACTTTCAGTTCTTCTACCCCTATATCTGTACTTACTAACATACCCCTGTTTTTCTTGCATAAATGAACTTACCATTTATAAATACTCAAAAGTGGTTTATTGGGTAGCTCCAGCTTTAAGACAGTGTTTTGTAATAAGGTAGCTAGAACATGATACTATTTAATAAGTCAGGAATTCATTCAATAATGACAGCAACTAATTCCATTCAAAAGAAGTCATTTCCACTAATAATTTGATCAATTCAATAAATTTGTTGAATCTTGATAATAAGAGTAATAAGTATTATTAGTAGTTCAGAACATGTTCATGAATTCAATGAATGTTTACAAACGGTCTGTTTAGGAGGTACTCTCCTAGGCACTGGATAATAAATATGAAACAAAAATAGTTCTAATCCTGAGTGAATGTACAACTAGTAGATAAATACCTTACTAAGTAAAACATCATATGATTTTTTTAAAATTCACCATAGTGCAATAAAGAATAGCTATGATATAAGTATGAAATACAGTATAAAGGAACACACAGTCAGTTCTCAGTTTATTCATTCATTCACCAAATATGATTTTTTTATTATTGATTATATTTACATTAAATTATTATTGAGAACTTAGTATGTGCCAGTCACTATTCAAGGCAAAGATGATATCAAAGTAAACAAAATAAACAAAAGTCCCGGCCTGCATGGAGCTTACATTCTGGTAGGAGGAAACAAAACTATAGAGAAGTAAAATACATAGTATTTCAGTCTGTATGTATGGTATGGTGAAGTACAAAGCAGAGCAACGGTACAGAGAGCACAAAGAGAAAGGGAATAAAAATTTGCTTACATTTGACATATTTTGATTGAGAGGTTATTTTTTTTGCTTTTCTTTTTTAAATCTTCCTCTCAGTTAAACAAATATTTTCCTTTCTCATACAGTTTCCCAGATAAAGTTCTGCCTAACACTCATGGTCACTATAGTTTGGACATTAGTCGTTTTTCAAGGAAGCTGATGAAATTGTGCTATTCAAACTACCAGTCTTTTTAAAAATCTGATTCACAGCTAATTTAACAGCAAGTATGGATGATACTGGGAAGCAGAGCAAAGCTGAAGAAACAGATTATAGAGAATAAGACGTAGATACAGAAGGCAGAAAGGAGAAAAAATAACGTTGTAAAGAGAAGCGGTGAGACTATCACTAACAACTGTTGGCATCTCTCTGAGGCTTTGCCATCCTGAAGTTGACTACTCCTGAGACAGCCCCTGACTGCCTCCTTGTGGCTGATAGGACATCCTTCAGCGCCAGCACACTAATACACAGACCTGAGACTTTGAAAAACAATTTTATAAAACATGGGCTAATTAATAAAGTTTTAATTAACTAATACAGCTCAATGATGTCTTTCCTCAAAATGAGGGTCTGTGTATATTTTGTTTTTTAAAGTCTAGGCTTAGAGTTTATTGGAGATATACAATCTTGATTTTCACAATTTACCTGTGATATATGGAGATGACTGCCTCTATTCTTATCAGTAGGCAGTAAGGACCTATAATATAAGATTTGTTCATAACAATTTTTAAAACTAAACAAATTTTTTACAGTTTCAGATTTAGAGAAAAGTAGTAGAGTTCCTAAGCACCTAACTTAGTATACTCTACAATTAACATCTTACATTACCATGGTACATTTGTCACAACTAAGAAACTAACGTTGGTACATCCAAACTTCATTAGATTTCCTCTAATGTCGTTTTTCTGTCCAAGAATCCCATCCAGATGCCACATGACATTTAGTCTTCTTGTCTCATTAGCCTCCTCTGGCCTGTGACAGTTTTTCAGGCTTTCCTTGCTTTTGATGACCTTGACAGCTTTGAGGAATACTGGTCAGGTATTTTGTAAAACAGCCCTCAGTTTGGGTTTGTCTCGTGGTTACATCGAGATTACGGGTTTGGGAGTGGAAGACCACAGAAATGAAGTGCCCTTCTCACCAAATTACATCAAGGATACAGACTATCAGCGTGTCTTATCACCAGTGATGTTAACCTTGCTCACTTAGACAGTGTTTGCCAGGTTTCTCCACTGTAAAGTTACTTTCCCCTCCCTCCTCCCGCATTTTCATACTCTACTCCTTCTTAGAAGCAAGTAACTAAGTGAAACCCACCATCAAAGGGGTGGGAATTAAGCTCTATCTCCTCGAAGTGAGGCTGGGAAATATTTATAGAGATGATCTGGAATTCTTCTGTACAGGATATTTTTCTCTTCCATTTATAATAGTATGGATTCATAGATATTCATTTTATACTTTGGACTGTAATCCAATATTATGTTATATATTTTTGTACTCAAATTGTTCCAACTTTGGCCATTGGGCACTCCTTTAGGTTGGCTCCTATGTCTCGTTGACATAGTCCACATACATAGTTTTGAGCATTTCCTTGTTGTCCAGCACTACAAGATGCTCTAGGCTCATTTTGTGTATTTTCTGTCCCAGTCTTAGGTCAGCCATTTCTCCAAGCAGCCCTGCTTCCTCTTACTGGAGAGT